ACACACACACACACACACACACACACCAGTTTGGAAAGGTTCATGTCTCTCAGGACCCTCATCACCACGGTCTTCTCTGGCTCTGACGGGTTGGATCTCTTCACGGCTCCCAGCGTCCTCAAAACTGACAAAATGTTCCTCAGACCAAAATCATAATGGACCTGGTGTAAAGACAAAACTAATATCATGAAGTCAGGCGCATAGAAAATATGATGATATGGTTCTGACTGATCTGAACTGATCTGCGTGTGAGAACAGATGAGTCAGTGTCTCTGGACTTTTCCCGCAGCCTCCTAGTGAAACATCTGGAAAATGTCCATGTGAGTTTTCATGATGTTTCACTTTGTGCCCGACCTGTTTGGAGAGCTGCTCCTCACACAGTTTGTAGAGGGTGTAGAACTTCCTGCTGAGAACCTGGTTGTCACGAAAACCTGCACTGGCCAGTTTGACCCTCATGATGATGGCTCTGTCAGGGACCATCATGGCTACTGTGCGGAACTGGATCTTCAGGTTCTCGGGCAGCTCCTGGCGACCAGCGTATCCAGGGTTCTGAGGGACCAGGTATAGAATCAGGTCTTGATAACTGACTGCTTCTGAGATACATTGACAGAGTTCAACAGACTGGTTCTCTGGTTGTTCTGTTGAGGCTCTGAACAAATTCAAAGCTGGAACTCTGGCTGTTAGATTGTTCTGGTTCTGAGCTGGTTCAGTCCTGGGACTCACCAGCTGATTTCATATTTGCATCTCAAGCTCTTATGGTTCCATCATTTGCTACTTTTAGCCGCTGCACTTTGCCTCTATAGCTAACTCATTAGCTTTGTCACCAATGAATCCTGGGATAGCTTGGCCCCTCCTCTGAAGCATGTGACCCCTGAAGGGACACAGCTTGTGACATCACTCGGTTTGGAGCTAAGATTTCGGACCAGACCTTCGTTCATTTATTCTCAGTTTTCACTCAGTACAAAGATTGTAACTCCTCCTGCTGGTCATATCGTGGTTACCATGGTGAGGAAGATGCCAAACTCAGGGTCCATGTCGACCACGTCTCCGTCTGTGAAGACAAACTGCTTCTTCTTGTTCTTTTTGCACTGCAGGACGATGTAGATCTGCTGGGCGGCGACGGACAGGACCGGCAGCTCGATGCGGTTGAACTCATCGAAGCAGCCCCAGGCTCCAGACTGAGCCAGACCTGCAGAGACACACAACAACCAGCAGGTGGCACTTCACACAACTGGACATACAGTCAAGGACATTTTCTGTTTTGTCTGTGTCTGGCTGCTCCCAGCTTCTCCACGTCTGAGCCCAGTCACCCGACAGAGAAAACTTCTTTTGGCTGCTTGCTTTTGCAGCCTCGTTCTTTCGGTCACTACCCAGAACTCTTAACCAAAGCTTTGGAACATAGATGATCGGTAAATCATAAATTTAGTCTTTCAGCTCAGCTCCGGGTTTTGTTCTTTCTTTCTAATTCAGACTAATTCGGTTTAAGCTGGAACCATCAGCAGTTACCAAGATCAGAGGGCAAGAGGTTCGCAGGGATTTAATCACAGTCGACTGTTGCATCACACCTTTATAAATGCGTCCCAGTCCTCTGTAGTCCATCTGGTCCGAACAATTGAAAACCACCACGTATTTGCCCAGACAGCGACCCATGTCCTTCGTGGTCTCTGTTTTACCTGGAAACACAAACACACACACAAACGCACACAGACACACACACTAAATTACAGCAACAAACTCAGAGTGGGAGTTTTTCACTGGAGACTGTGTTACCTGTTCCTGCCGGGCCTGCCGGAGCTCCGCCCATGCTCATCCCCAGGGCCTGCGACAGCGTGATGTAACACCTGGACACGTGTCAGAGTGTTAACATATTTCCATGATCTGTCCGTGGGTTTGGTTTGTGACAGAGTTTAAATTAAGGTGGTCGGCCCGTCTCCACTTCCTCCAGAAAGGAAGCTAACATATACTATTGGAGGAGGCGGGCTTTGTACCTGTCAGTCAGCGGAGTGATGACCAGTCTGTCTGTACAGCCCAGGTATTCGTTGCAGTAGCTGAACTCCACGTCCGTGATTTGAATGACACATCTGTCCGTCTCCTCCGAGAAGTAAAACCTCGACTGTTTTTGCCACTCGAAGTCCGACGCAGATCGAACGTTCAGGCGCACCTGATGGAGATAATGTTACAAAGTGACATAACCACTCCGATTAGCGCCGCACCATAATGTCTCCGTCCCTCCGTCCACCCACCAGCTCGTCAAAGATGTCCCTCTGGTGGACGTGGATGGTGATGAGCGTCTCATACTTGGTCCTCTCGTTTCTGCTCAGCTCCTTCGTTGTCATGTCGATCAGCTCGTTGAGGAGGTCCATGAACTTCTGATTGGTAGTCTGCATGATCTGCCACATGATCAGATGGGGGGGGGAGTCAAACGTACGTTTCCACTCGCTTTAAAATAACAACTGGAATTAGACTTTGCATAATTTTTAAGTTACATTAAAGTAACGTCGGATAATCTAAATGTAATTTATCGCTGTTATCTACTCTCCTGCTACGTGTCCACTTACCTGCATGAAAACCATCAAAATCTAATCAGTTCATCTTCAAGTGTGAATCAACTTTCGTACCAAATTTGAAGAAAGTCCCTTCAGGCGTTCTCATGATATCACGTTCACAATGTGACGTGAAAACATGATGCCTCCGACCACTGGGTGTCGCTGGCGCTGATATATAAAAGAAAAAGCACCTTCTTGTCAGACTTGCTGAGGACGAGTGCGTCTTCTGCGTCTCTGGTCCAGATCATCTGGATTCCCAGGAGGCCGACCTGAGCTGGAAACGCTGACTGGAAGTCCAGCAGCTTCAGGCCTGGGTCAGCGATCATCACGTAGGCCTGACGAATGATGGCGTGGAGCGTCTGTCTGACTCCGGCGAGCAGTTGCACTAACCACACCTCCACGTTGCCCTGGAAGGTTGAATCATCAGGAGTCACAGATTCACACAGTTTGAAGGTCAGAGGATTTGAGAAGCAGCAGCGGATTACATTGTTGAAAAAGTAGTGATTCAGAGTGTGTGAGGGGGAAGGAGAATAAATCAAATCAAATAATAAAGGATAAATAAATGAATAAAACAGATCAAATGTACCTGAGCCATGACGGGTTGACTCAGCGCCACAGTTTCTCCTTCCTGAGACTGAAAGCTGAGCATCTGGTCGTAGAGTTTCTCACTGAAAACGACTCGGTTAACGTTGTCGAACAGACTCAAGAGATGAGCCTGAAGACAAAGACAATTCATGTATTAATATTTATCAACCAGTTTATCAAGATCGTAAAGAAAGAGAAATCTAACTTAACCTTAACCAGTGTGTGTGTGTGTGTGTGTGTGTGTGAGAGAGTTTTTCCCGTGGTGTATTCTCTTTAACTTTTTTTATATTAAGCTCTTTCTACTTTGCTTTACTTTTATTTTAATGTAATTATTGCTCTGCTGAGCTGACGTGCTTCTTCTCGTCCGACACCTTTCGTTGTGATTTTGATCCCTGGCGTTAACGTGATGAATACAGCTCGTGCGTGTCACCTGTATGGTGTGCGAGTCCGACGCCTGACCCAGGATCTCCAGCAGGGCGGGGTCGGACACGAAGAAGAAGCGAGGAAACACCAGTCGTTTCTTCTCCAGGTAACCGGACAGAGACTTCTGACACAGCTCCAGCTGCTCCAGCAGATGAGGCAGCAGCTGCAGAGACAACAAGCGACTGTGAGCGTGCACCTACAGCATCGCTGTGTTGCTCAGAGGCACGTGGGCAGCACCTGGCTGAGCGTCTCGTCTCCCACGCAGCACTGCACGGCGTTGGGAAGCTCGTGTGCTCGCTGCATGATCCTCTGCCAGGACTTGTCGATGTTCTGGAAACGTTTCGCCTCCTGAGGAACAAACAACAAGCATCAAACCACAGGAGAACTGTGGTGATGATGTCACAGGCGACACGCAGCCTGATGATTGTTGTGACCTGAGGCAGCTGTTTGGCGATGTCTCCGCCCACAAACACGGCCTCTAAGTAGATCCAGAGGTTTTGAACCGACAACCACTTCTCGATGATCTCGGACGTGTTGGAGAGTTTCTGGACCCACAGCTGGATGGACAGCTTGAACGGAGCGTTGTACCTGCAGAAGACATTCATTCATTCATTCATTCATTCATTTATTCATTCATTCATTCATTTATTCTTTTGTTCATTCATTTATTCATTCATTTATTTATTCGTTCATTCATTCATTCATTCGTTCATTCATGTCTCGACCCCCCCGTCTGTCGACCTGTTGCTCAGCAGTGACGTCAGCACCATCAGGCTGTCCTCCATCATGGAGACTTTCTCCACGGTGTCGGCTCCTCTCAGCAGCAGTTCTCCTCTGGTCCTGAAGGGGGCGAAACTGAGGGTCTGGCTGCTCCACTCGGCCACGACGTCCTTCAGCTTGGCCTCGATGTCTCGCTCCTTCACTGCACTGATGCAGACATCCTGACCGCAGCAGGACACAAGACAGACAAACCACTCGGATCATTTCTGAACTTCGATTTGTGGAGATTAATCTGGATTATCAGGATTATTTTAGACTGTTCATGTCCTGACTGAAGTCACTCTGGCAGAAGAGTTTTTATATTATCTCTTATAATCCAGGTCTGATTTTCATGTTGATTCTACATTTTTATTCCAGACTCCAAACATTTCAAGGTTATTCCCAAACTGTGATCTCCATCTTGGACATTTCAGGATTAATAAAAAGATTTGGGAAAGTAAATCATCGGAACCTCAATGTCCTCTTTGTATTTTAGCAGCGGAGCCTCCATGATGTTTCTGAGACAGAAACTCTCTGAGTCCACCTGGAAACTGTGAGTGGTCAACTCACTGAGACGAGTCCAGTGTCTGGGCAGCATCGCCTGGAGGACACACAGTCCACAGCTTCAAGTTCTGAGACACAAACAAAGGAATGTTTTCTAGATGGATCAGTGCCCCCTCCGAGCGGCCTCGTACCTTGTTGGCCATCATGTAGAGCAGAGGGCAGGTCTCAGTGAAGTCATCGATGGTTTTCTTCAGATCTCTAAACGCCTGCCACTCCTTCAACGCCTTCGGAAGCTTCCTGATCCTGAAAAGACCCAGAGACAGGTGGACAAATTCAACAGAGACTTTTTATTTCCCTCTTTAAGTTTGAAATATTGTCCCATCACTGTCTTCGCTGCTCTACCTGTTCTGGAAGTCCTGCAGCTCCAGGTTCATCTTCTCAATGTTCAGTTCGGCCCACAGGAAGTCGTAGTATCCCGCCACGCTGTCGATGACGGAGTTATATAAACTGTAAAGTTTGGACAGAAGAGAGAGCTCCCTCTTGATCCTCTGCAGCTCTGGATACTCTGCAAGGACGGAGGAGGAGTCAGCAGGACAGAGGAGGAGCCAGGAGAGAAGGAGGCAAGGAGGCAAGGAGGCAGGTGGTGAGACGAACCTTGAACAGTCAAACCGAACAGTTCCTCTCCTCCTGAGTAGGTGATGAACTTCCTCCACAGCTGATCGAAGTCCGACTGAAAACCCTGCAGACGCTCACTGGCTTCAACTGGAGCCACGCCCTCCACGCCAGGACCCCTGCACACACACACACACACACACACAC